GTGACACTGCCCCCCTCCCGGGACACTACCTTCCTCCTGTGACACTGCTCCCCTCCTGTCTTGCTGCCCTCCTCCTGTGAGACTACCCCTCTCATGTGACACTGCCTCCTTTTGTGAAACTGCCCGCTTCCTGAGGCACTGCCCCCTCCTATGACACTGCCCCCTCCTTTGACACTACCCCCCTCCAGTGGCACTATCCCCCTCCTGTGACACTACCCCCCTCCTGTGACACTGCTCCCCTCCTGTGAAACTACCCCCCTCCTGTGACACTACCGCCCTCCTTTGACACTGCCCCCTCCTCTGACACTGCCCCCTCCTCTGACACTGCCCCCTCCTGTGACACTACCACTCTTAACACAGCTTCATCATCAGAACTGATAGCAGGACAGTCAATTCACAGGCTGAAACAGCGCTGTGTTATCACCATCATCAATTTACTTTATTAAGGAGGCCTTTTACTATTGTTCCAATAGTCTTGCAGTCCAAAGAGGAGTTGCCATGTGCCAGCAATCAGTTTAACCCCTTGTTTCTTTAGATTCACTAATCACTAGTGCTTTAAAGGAATATTACACCAGTCAATTGCTGCTTTCAGGGGTAGTGCTGTTCTTTCCTTCCTTTATTGCATTGTTCCTCAGAGAACCATAATTCACACTTCTCACTGTACAGCAACTGGGCCCCATCATGCGCTCAGAAGACTCTTCACTGACTTTAAAGGATTAAAGGGGTAAAGAGCATTTTCCCTTATTTCTCCTTGCCATCAGGTCCTGAAGGCCCAAGGTGAGCTAGTCTACCTGATAGTTCTCTCTGCTCATTGGGGACTATAAAGCCACCTCAGGTTGAAGGTATTAGAAACATAGAAAAGTGACCGCAGAAAAAAACCGAGCCGTCCATCGAGTCTGCCCTCTTTTTGTGTGTGTTGGGGGAGAGGGGGGTTGTGGTTTTTTGTTTTTGTTATTTAGGGGGGACTTTTGTTTAAAAAAAATTTATTTATTTTTTCCTTTGTTAACTTTTTTGTCTGAGTATAGATCTGTGCTTGTCCCAAGCATGTTTGAAGCTATTTACTGGCTCGCTAACTTTGCTGGAACTACTCTCAGTAAAATAGTACTCTCTGAGATTAGTTTTGAGCTGTGCTCCAGTTAGTTTAAGGATTTAAGTTAGTCCCTGAAAAGCAGGCCTACTAACACTGAGCCTCTGTAATAAGTGCTGTTTCCTTTCTTTGCTTAAAATTGACACAAGTAGTAACTGACTCTGCACATGTCAATCCTGTTTATGTTGTGTAACCAAGCTACATTGAAGTTGTTAGAAATCTTTTACCAGGTCATCCTTATGTCTATTTTTTGAGAGTGATTTATCTGCTTGAAAGTGTGCTTTGGTGTCAGCAGGGGTTGGGCTTTCAGAAAGAGGTCCAGAGCAACAGCGAGCCTGAAAATCATCAAGCAACTTCTAAGAGGGCAGTGCTTACCACAATTTGGCTACCTGTGCAATGCCCAGGTTGCCCAGAAAGGTTAGCTATTATCCAGTCTTAGTGTGCCACCTGAGTAGGTGCAAAGGGCACCGTATTGTGGTAAGCAGTTCACTTCCTTAAAGTGGAATTCCAATGAAAATGAAAAAAAAAAAATAGTCAGCAGCTACAAAAACTGTATCTGCTGACTTTTAAAAAAACGGACACTTACCTGTCCCTCAATCCCACGGTGCCCACCCCATAGCAATTTCACCTGCCACCCTGTGTTCCAGGCGCTGGCATCTTCAGTGTGGGCTCCCGGCTGTGACAGCCTGCGGTTTCACAGCTCGGTGCCCACAGAGCATGCCCGAGTAGAGCTGAACTTTCTGAATGCAAGTGTACAATCCAAATGTACACATTTCTGCATTAAAAATGGCTGTGTGTATAAGTGGGTGCTGCAGCGACCCTCGGCTGGAACCAAACAGAATCAGCAAGGGAGAATGTCACCAGCACACCAGGGATCACCAATATGGGTCAAAAGGTTTTAATGAGTGATCACATAGTTACAAGGCAACGTTTCGGAGTCTCGCAGGACCCCTTCATCAGGCATGTGGCCAACATGGGTCCAAATGTTTTAATGAACGATCACATAGTTACAGCAAGGCAACGTTTCGGAGTCTTGAAGGACCCCTTCATCAGGCATGTGGCCAACATGGGTCCAAATTTTTTAATGAACGATCACATAGTTACAGCAAGGCAACGTTTCGGAGTCTCGAAGGACCCCTTCATCAGGCATGTGACCTACATGGGTCCAAATGTTTTAATGAACGATCACATAGTTACAGAAAGGCAACGTTTCGGAGTCTCGAAGGACCCCTTCATCAGGCATGTAGCCAACATGGGTCCAAATGTTTTAATGAATGATCACATAGTTACAGCAAGGCAACGTTTCAGAGTCCCGAAGGACCCCTTCATCAGGCATGTGGCCAACATGGGTCCAAATGTTTTAATGAACGATCACATAGTTACAGCAAGGCAACGTTTCAGAGTCTCATGCCTGATGAAGGGGTCCTGCGAGACTCCGAAACGTTGCCTTGTTGTAACTGTGTGATCATTCATTAAAACATTCGGACCCATATCGGTGATCCTCGGTGAGCTGGTGACATGCTCCCTTGCCCTTTCTGAATAGTCCTGTAGTCTTCTGTCATGTGTCCCAGAAGACTTCGGGGAGGGAGGGGGGAGGACAACGTCCGCATCCGGTTGCCTTGGCAATCACAGCGGAAGTGGGTACCTGTCAATTTCGGGTACCCGCTCCCCAAAGGTGCCACTCCTTAACAGGGAGCAGGTAACCAGTCCTTAAAGCAGAACTTCCCCTTTTGGGTGGAGCTCCCCTTTAATATACACAAGTTTTAAAAGGTTAAAAAACAGTGAGTGCACTGCCTGCCATAATATGGTGCCATTAGCACCTACTCAGGTGGCACACTAAGAATGGATAAGAGCCAACCTTACTGCCCAGATGCAAAGGGCACCCTCTTATGGAAGACTATGCACTGGCTGATTCTTTTTTCAAAGCCTTAAAACATTTCATAAATGTTCTTAGGACACATATTTTTAAGGATACAACAATCACTGAATTTACTGCCTACCACACTTTGCACTTGCTCAGGTTGCACAGTAAAGTTGGATAATAAGAAGTCTTAAGTCTCGTTCACACCTCCTAAATGACTATGGTATGGCAAGTAAATACCTGCCTGTAAACCTGAATGGCAGTCTGAAATAGGCCGAGGCTGTCTACTGCTATAAACACATATTTGCATGTATCTGCACATCCACTGGTTACCTGCAGGGAGGGATACATGTCTGCCCTTCGACGCATTTTCTCTGCACCCAGGGTCGGACATTTGTCCCCAACTGCAGGTAAGCATTGGATGTGCAGATACACCAAATACATGATTACAGCAGCGGACAGCCTTGGATCTTTTCAATCTGTCACTGGAAAACCTGGGATCCCGGCTGTAAGTATTCACACTATGCTTGCCATTCCAAAACCATTTAGAACATACTGTATGAATCAGACCTAAGACTGGATGATAGCCAACCTTACTGTGCAAGCTGAACAGGTCTTTATGAAGTTGGCCTCATTTATTTTCTTTATTTTCTTTTTTCCAAAGACACTTTACAGTATATCCGTATAGTTTTATACAAATAAAATCAGTATGGATCCAAGTAAAAAATGAGTTTAAGAAGGACACAGTTGGTGTATATTTATTAATCTTAGGGTGCCAGCTACACAAACACTAAGTCTAGGTTCACACCTATGCGTTTTCCGCAACATTTTGCGGAACCGTACAGCAGTCCATTTAACATGATTTCTTATGGGACAGGTTCACACTCTGAGGTTTTACCCGAGCGTTTTTTGGAAAGGGTCAGGGACTTTTTTAAACTCAAAACGTTGCTTTTTGGTTCTTTAGATTTCAATTGAGATGGTGAAGAAAAGCATGTATTGCGTTTTTGATGCGTTTTGATTTTAATCTGCCTAGCAACAAGTACAAAATATATAAAAAAAATTAAAACACGGAAAAAATGTGTCAAACGCATGTGCAAATATGCAAAATGCACTCCAGAAATGGATCAAACGCAAACTGCTTAGGTGTGAACCTAGTGTTAGGGCCAGGGGCGGACTGACAAGTCATGTGGCCCCCGGGCAATAGGGGATTATGGGGCCCTGTATCCTTGTCCAAACTCAAAAAAGCCTATGAAAAAGGTACTAGGGGCATCTCATGGGACCCCCTACTGACCCCGGGCCCTCGGGCAGTGCCCGAGTTTCCAAATGGTCAGTCTGCCCTGGTTAGGGCTAGCGTTCACTAGTGTTCAGGGGCGGACTGACAACTCATGGGGCCCCGGGCAATAGGGCATCATGGGGCCGCTGTGTCATTGCCCACATCCAAACCACACCCATAAAAGCCTATGAAAGGTACTAGGGGCATCTCATGGGGCCCCTTTCTGACCCCGGGCGCTCGGGCAGTGCCCGAGTTCCCAAATGGTCAGTCCACCCCTGCTAGTGTTGCACTCTGAAAAGGATGCACATTTGGATTGCTCTTGAGAGCATTTTGCAGGCAGTGAGGAGGCGCTGTATTGCTTCCTCACTGCCTGTTATATAGCCCATTAAACTCTACACTAGTGTGATACAACCACATGCATTGTGTGCTTGCAGGGTGCCCCTATTCAGCTGAATGGGTTGTGTTCAACAGGTAGTACTGCCTGCTGAACACAACAGGGGGAACATTTTTGCTGCACTGCTTAGAATTTGAGAATGCCTCCCAGGAAAAAAAATTATCTATGGCCCTGGATCCAATTGATTTGTATTTTCAGTATTCATTTTAGTACATGTCAATTTAGGTTCCTGTTAACACTTCATATTGTGTCTTTTGCTCACAAAGTCTACATGGTCTGCACAACTGGATAGAGGCAATCTTCTCCACTGACCACTGATTTAAAGTGGACCTGAACTAAAATACTTTTTTTGGATAGGCTAAAGGTTTTTTTTTTTTCCCATCTGTGTCCCATTGGGGAGATTTCCCTTTGTTTCCTGTCCCAAAGCCAGAACAGGAATTGACAGGAAAGTGAAGGAATCTCTGGTTGTCACCAGGACTAGTGTCCCCATTGGAAGATTTTCCTCCTTTTCTGTTTTTATGACAATTAAAAATGTGGGACTTTCTTTCACACTCGGTAATTATGGTCGCCAGGACAAATAGAGAAGGTGAATCTCCCTAAGGAGGATGCAGACAGCAACAAAAACCCAACAGGAGTTCTAATCCCCCTCCCATGATTATTCTACCATATTCTGCCCTGACTGACACATACAATCTTTATGTTTGTATTTTTCAGTGGCGGAACTACCGGGGTGGCAAAGGTCGCACATGCGACCGGGCCCTGCCATTCCGGCACTGTTGGGGGCCCCCAAGACAGGTTTGACGTACAACTTCACCACGGCCACAAACACCTGTCCCGAGAACCAGCAAGGCAGTTCAGCAAACTAAGAATTGGAAGGTGGAAGCATGCGGCTTTATATGTGAGTGGCAGCGGTGGGCCACACTGGATGATAAGCAGAGGCACTGACATACAGGCAGATGTTGGCAGAAGAGCGATTTGGATCTGAGTGGGTGATCAGGAGTGCCGAATACAACTTGAGTCTGTTTATGACTAAGCTGCAAATATTTTAGCTGTGTCAGATGGTTACATGGTTGCAGATTTACGTTGGGGGGAATGTTACAGTATATCCCAGGGGTGCTTTACTCTCATTAACTGCATCCTTGCTTACTCAATGGTATCTATATGGGACTCAGGTCCCTTGTTAACCTACTTGTGTCCAGGGGCGGACTGACAACTCATGGGGCCCCCGGGCAATAGGGGATCATGGGGCCCCTGTGTCCTTGCCCAAACTCTAAAAAGCCTATGAAAAAGTACCAGGGGCATCTCATGGAGCCCCCTACTGACCTCGGGCCCTCGGGCAGTGCCCGAGTTTCCAAATGGTCAGTCCGCCCCTGCTGATACCATATAAAAGATCATGACTCGTCAGATAGTTGGAGCAGATATTCTTTTTATCCAGGAAATGCACTTTGCTGCTTCCAAGACTCCTCATTTCACTTTGATATGTTTCCCTACTTTAGGCTACGTTCACAGCAATGCGTTTTTTTACTGCCTTTTGCTTTTTGCAGAACCGCACTACAGTGTATTTAACATGGTTTCCTATGGAACATGTTCACATCTATGCTTTTTTTCAGCTGCTGTGTTTTTGGAAAGGGTCAGGAATTTTTTTTAACCCCTTTACTCAGGTGCCTCCCGGCCCTTTAAGAGTTTCAGAAGCCGGGAGGCGGGGAGGGGTTTCGAGTCATGTGACTGCCGTGACGCGCCATCACGGCGGTCACATGATCGGGAAAGGTCCTGATCGAAAGAGGAGATCGGGACCTTTCCGTGAGTACCGGACATGTGTGCAGGGAGTGCGCAGGGGCGCGCACTCTCTGCACATATGTTCTTTTTTTAATGGAACGCAAATGTGCGGCCTAGACGCTGGGTGGCCACACATTTTTGTGTTCGGCCGGCGTGAAGAGGTTAAAAGCAAAAAGCAGCATTTTTGCTAAAATAGAGTTCAATGGAGAATCTGCTGAAATGCATGGTAGTTTTTTGTGTTTTGCATTTTTATTCTGCTCAGCAAAAAAAAAATCCACTTTAAAAAGAAAAAGAGCTGAACAAAATGCAAAACGCATGTAGGAGAATGCAAGACGAACTGCGAAAAGCACTGCAAAATGGACAAAAATCAAACTGCATAGGTGTGAACGGAGCCTTATTCCTAGCCTTGAATACCAAAAAGAAGATATTTTTATACTGGTAAGCTAGCTGGTGATGAGGATGCTGTAGGTAGATTGACACAGTCATTTATATGAGGGTGTGACACTCATGTTTAAATGGATTGATGGCGTATGACTGCTTGGCATACTTCCAGTGGTTTGTGAGGCGGTCCGGACTGTCGGATGTGATGTTAGACAACGCTGTCTTTCATTTAAAGATATGGTGATTGGTCTGATATTTAGGAAATTGAAGAGATGGGTTTTGTAACCTTCTTTATTTTTTTTATTGTGACAACAAAGTTGTGTTTTTCTAAGAGTTTCAATTTAATGCCCCCCTGCCTTTTTAAAAAAATTTTTAGTTCTTTTTTGTTTGGATTGGCTTTATGCCACATTGGGAGAAAAAGATCGCTTTTATACCTGGGACTCTTCCCTACATTTCCATTTTTTTGCTAAAGACATATTTGGTCATATCCCCCACACCTTTAGTATAGGTAAGTTTGGCAGCCAGCTGTCTTGAATTTGAATACATTTTGTATTATGGCAGGAAGGGAGCCTGCTGCAGGACCGTAATAAAAGACCCCGGGATCATTGTTAAGGGCCTATAATGGAAAGGGGGGCCCTTCATGGTTTACTGCACCCTGAAGGCTCTAGTTATGCTTCTGGTATTTATATATAACTTACTGATAATGCTGGTGTGACATATGCTATATGATTAGCAGGGGTTTTCCTGAGATTTAACATTTATTTCAACATTTTTTCTATGTTTAAAGTCACTCAAAACTCAATGACCCCCCCCCCAATAAAAAATAAAAATATTATATTCCCAACCTTACTTGTTATTAATCTGTGTGACTCACAAAGAAAAAAAATACATTTAGAATATTCTCCACTCCAACTTCATTGATGGAACCTAGTCCCTCATCTCTGCTCACTCCAGACATGAGCTACAGAAATAGATGAGGACACATCCAGCACCAGGAATGTATTACTGTGGAAAACCACCTGTCGATAAAATCGCCACCCACATACTTCAGGGTAGATGAATGAAATTACGGGAGCATGCGTGTTAGGATCACAATTTGTAGTTTGAGTAGAGCCGGGCATGTGACTGCAATATACTGTATGTGCAGTGCTTACACTCATTTCAATGGAATAAACAGGAAAATGAGCCCCAGTGGGGGCCAAAGAGATGTGAATAAAAAGGTATTTATATTAAACCCAAAGTAAAAATGTAATATATTGCAGCTCATTATTCTTTAGATGTGGCTGCATAAGTTTTTTTAGGCTATTTCCCTCTGCTTTCACCTGGTGATCTGGCCAGTAACACACCTCCTGTATTAGAGTGCCCCCACTCTGGATGAATGAGCACAGGGAGCACCTTTGGACAGCAGCATTGTCAGTATGGGGGTAGGAAAGTGTTAGCTGTACTAGCATATTTAAATACACTAACAAATTGAAGCCATCCCACACTTTTTAAAATTGTAAACAGCAACAGTTTTCTTTCTAATTTTGGGATAAAGGTTTTTTTTTAACATGAATAAATAAATGAATAAGTAAATGGTTCCCATTTGGTCTCAACCCCCTAACTGCTACATCTGCAGGACAGCTAGTTCTGTTGAAAAACAACATACTTACTGGCTGGATCACCAGGTGAAAATAGAAGAAAAAATTAGTAAGTCAGGAAATATCGAAACGTGTCAGACATGACTGTGCGGCAAACCGAAAGTGACGCGGGTCCATAACCGGAAGTGACGTGGCAACGTGTTGTCCGATAGTTACGAAGGTGGTGAGAGCATTAAACAGTCCCTGCTGATCACTATTACTTTTATTATGGGCTTGTTTTGATTTTATACTTTGTAAGTGCAATACTTGTAGCAAAGCGATATATCTTGGGTATTACACCATTGGAGCAGGTCTTGTTCTTCTCTCTTTTCATGATATGGTGGAGCATGGAGTAATAATGGAGTGGATAACTGAATAACCCTGACATTTGTTTATTGAATGAGCTACGTTTGAGGAACTCCCAGTACTTACCAGTTGAAGCCCTCTTCTGTATTCTACATACCAAAAGCAGAGGGCATTATAACACTGGTGAGTGCACACCCGAGTGGGGGCGCACTGTGACCACTGTGTCTGTTTTTTAACGCTGTATGATTTTCATCACCAGACATTTTTATCACTGGACTTTATTTTTATATCACTGGACTTTGTTTTTTTTTTTTTATCACTGTATTTGTTTTGCTCACTATAGTGTGTTGATTTGAGCACCTGATTTTTTGGTCACCATAATTTTATTTATTATTTATTTAATATATTTTTCACTGGAAAATATTGTGAGGATATATGATACAAAAGTTGGGATAGTATGTTGATAATTTAAATTTATCTTTTCAGTATTTTTTATGAAATGTTTTGGCACTGTGAAGTGTATGTACCACTTTTTCACAAATTCACCGTGGGTTTTATATTAATTAAAATAAAAGAAAGCCTAAAAAAAAAAGAAAAGAAAATGAATGCAGCCTTCACATCTAAGAAATGGTAAGCTGCAATATAATAAATGTTTGCTTTTGAGTTTAATACCGCTTTAAAGATCTTTTAGCAATTGCTTTCATTGAATGTGAAGGATTGGAATGTGGATTTAATAGCAACCATTCTGTAACACTTTAAATAAAATAATAATAATAACAATAATAATAACAACAATAATAATAATAGTAGTAGTAATAAAACAATAATAATAATAACAATAATAATAATAATAGTAGTAGTAATAAAACAACAATAATAATAATAACAATAATAATAATAGTAGTAGTAATAAAAACAACAATAATAATAATAGTAATAAAACAATAATAACAACAACAATAACAATAGTAGTAGTAATATAGTAGTAGTAATAAAACAATAATAATAATGCATTAAAAAAATAAGAAAGTTGTAAAAGGTTGGCCAGTGCATAGAAAGGTGTAATGAATAGAGGGGCCAGTAGGTGGCAGCACTGGCTATGGATTGTGGCAGAGGCTTGTATAGCCATCCAGCTTGGTGTGTTTTGATGAGTCACGTTGATGTTGCTGATTCTCCTGCTACACAATCCCTCTGTAGGGCAGATAAGTGTCAGTGTGGTGCTGCTACCATAGTCCGATCTTGTGGGAGACTGAAGGGCTGAGGTTGGCAGAGAATACACTCCTACACTGAGCCCAGGGAACTCTGTGGATTGGTAAGTGTATGCTGCACACACAGCTGTCATGTGCTGTCGTGTATGGATTTCTGTAGCATGTCCTAGTGATCAATCACACACATTTACAGCATTTTATGATTGGTAATGATTAGCGATTAATTGCTAATTTATAGAGAGGCGTTATGGTGGCCAAACATGCTAAATCCAATGAAACAATCGAATCTGACATTGATCAAAGGACAAAAATGGAATTATGGTAAGTGATTAAAGTCTGTTTCGTGTTTTTTGGCAGAAAAAAAAATCAGTTGTATGGGGCCCCTTTTTTTTTTTTTTTGCGCCCTAAACAATTCCCATGGTTCATCAACTCTGATTACTCAGAAGCACAAAAGATAGACCTATGCTTCTGTCAATTCTTCATACAATTACCGGTAATGTACAGTATTAATGTATACTCAGGGTACACATGTATGGAACATATTGCGTGGTGTATACCATGTGTCTGATTTGTAGCTCAATTTATGTGGCTGATCACTTTGGATCGACTTTTTAAAGTGCTGTGTATGGCCACATTGCTATATTAATAACGCAATTAGGGTGCTAAACATTGCCTGTGTGCTCATGGCCTAATGCCCCGTACACACGCTAAGAAAATCGTACCAAAAATTTTGCGGAAACACTGATCGAACGATTTTCTCTTTGTTGATGAGCAGGATGTTTTAACCAATAACGATATTGTGAACGAAAAAATCCGGCTGAACAACAGTGAAAAATGTTGTCGTTTCGCATACGAACGACCGTTTTTCTGTGCAGTGGTATGATGGTGGTACAAAAAAAAATCTATCAAGCATCACGGATGAGCGGAAACAGAAGATGACTCGGATGTTTGTGTCCAAGGAATCTTCAAAAACAGGAACGAAAAATCCAAATGTTAAAAGTAGATTGGCCTAATGAGATAATGAAACCAGAATTCTGCATATTATATTTTATGTAAGGTAATGTCAGGGGCGGACTGACAACTTATGGGGCCCCCGGGCAATAGGGGATTATGTGGCCCCTGTGTCCTTGCCCACACTCAAACCACACCCAAAAAAGCCTACGAAAGGTTCTAGGGGCATCTCATGGGGCCCCCTACTGACCCCGGGCCCTCGGGCAGTGCCCGAGTTTCCAAATGGTCAGTCCGCCCCTGAGTAATGTAATAAACTATATTATACTCATTGCTGGTAATTGTGTATATCTCTCGTTCTGGCCGGAAGGGCATGGCTACAGGTTCACACGCACACTGCATCACCTCCACTTGTATGGAAGACGTCAACTCCACGTATTGCCCGATGAACGATTTTAGATTGGTTAATGTGGACCACGATTTCGACCAACGAACGAACACCCTCGTATGACCAATCGGTCGATTTTCTAATCGTGTATTCCTACCTTAAATATGTCGATCTTTATATTTAATGACACATTTATATACTGCACCTGTCGCTCCACCTTCAGAACTCCACATTACAGGTGTACAAAATTGTGCCTCCAGGTAAAACATATTGAAGGCCATTCAGTAAGGCATTTGCTGCACATTTCTGGAGGTGCAGATGTAGCCAGAAGCCTTGTGCCAAATTCATGAAAACCCTACAACATTTTCATTGTTGGTACCAACAGGTGCAGACAATTAGTAGAATTCTTTTTTTTTTTTTTTTCTCTATTTTACTGTATGGTACTATTGTTGCAACCAGGGGGTGGACTGACGACTCATGGGGCCCCCGGGCAATAAGGGATCATGGGGCCCCTGTGTCCTCACCCACACTCAAACCACACCCAAAAAAGCCTATGAAAGGTACCAGGGGCATCTCATAGGGCCCCCTACTGACCCCGGGCCCTTGGCCAGTGCCCGAGTTCCCAAATGGTCAGTCCGCCCCTGGTTGCAACACATTCATAAAGAAATTCAGTTTCATAGTGGTGATAAGAAAAGTAAAGGAAGACCTTTGTCATGTAGGAGTAAATTGTTGATTGTGTCACTCGTGTTATTATTGTGCTGGGTGGTGCTTGCAGGGTCATCCATGGTTCTAATTTTGGCCAATTCAGCAGGAATCACATGAAAGTTGAGCCTTCTATGGCTGGTGTTAGTCAGTCTGCAGGGCACAGGCAAACTCACAGAGACATTCAGAGTGGCTCTGTGCCTTGTGATCACTGCAGACCATTCACCGTGATCACAAATGTAAACAAAAGAAATGGTCCCCCCCCCCCTTCAGCTTCTCAGCCATGTTTTATGTTAAGTAACATTGCTCCTACTCCCACTCACAAATGGGGGGGGGGGGGTACACTAACTACATAGGGGCACACTGAGCAGTAAGGGAGTACACTGACCCACACACACAGAACAGCAAGGGGGCACATTAAACCTGAATGAGATACACTGACCACCTGTGTTATGAGGGAGAAAACACCACTGACCACCAGTGCTATGGGGCACTCACCACTTATTACATACATTTAAAGGGGCACTTACCCCCAACCGCCACAATGAGAGGATAGTGTAATATGTTACGATCAGATGGGCCCCTGGTCTCCCCGCGATCCCGCTTTGACAGATAGCGGGGGATCTTCTACCCCCCGTCTGTGAATGAGAGACTACAAGTCCTGGAAGCCTGTAGTCCTCAATGAATTACCACAGTGCTGTGAAGTGTTGTGGTAGTTCATTTATCTTCCTGTCAGTATATCTGCTTGCCTATACATCCCGTATGGGCAAGCAGATATACTGACAGGTCTGCAGAAGACCTGCATAGCACCAGCAATCTGCTGGTCGCTGGTGCAATGCTTTTCAGGCTAATGCACACAAAATAATAAATGCACATTTTTTAATTGAAAAAAATGTGCATTTATTTTATTTTTTTATAAAAGGTGAACTTATCCTTTAAAGTGGGAAAAATAGATTGCTGATGCAGGGAGTAGCGGATTGCCTTCAAAGGATCAGGAAGGAATTCTTTTTCACTGTAGCAAATTGGACCATGCTTTATAGTTTTTTTTGGGTTTTTTTTGCCTTCCTCTGGATCAACTGTGGTTATAGGGTTCTGTACATAGAGGTCTTCTAATTAATTATTCTATTTATTTAGGATTTCTGTTGGTTGAACTAGATGAACTTGTGTCTTTTTTTTTTAATCTAACTAAAAAACCCTAAAACATATTTTCTGAGTAGACCATGTTCTTGTGAAGGTAAATTTCACAAAGTGTTTTGGAAGTTCTATAGTATGCATAAAAGCATTAGATTTGTAGTGCCCCTGAGTTATAATTAATGTATGTATATATAATTAATTTATGTTCTTTATGTTTGTCTAGACACCAGCATGGGATCCAAGCTGTCCGTGGATGAGTCGGTACGAGTGGTGATTGTGGGTGGAGGATTTGCTGGTATAGCTGCTGCCAGTCAGCTGAAGTCTCATGGAATCCCTTTTGTTCTGGTGGATATGAAAGACTGCTTTCACCACAATGTTGGAGCACTTCGAGCTTCTGTAGAGAGCGGTAAGGATCATTTAATGTTTTATAATACAGTATTGAATGCTGCCTTTGATGCCATTCATTAATATGAAAGGCAAATGAAAAAAACAAATCAGTTGCTAGCAGGCTGATGAATTCCTCCATCCTCTGGTAGCTGGCATGAACTCTGTCTTGAGCACTGTTTGAGGATTGGGCTGTATTCTGTGGATGGGGATAGGCGGTAGTAGGTATTGGTTATCCTGCTGGCCCAATTCTCAAAACACAAATCCTCAGTTTGAAATAAAATAAATCTGTCACCATCATGGGCAATTGAAAGTGAAATAGAAACCAAGACTGGGAGTTGCCATTACTGAACGCTGTTTGAGAATGCTAGCTGTCTGGCTTTCGCACTGATCCATTGGCCTTAAAATTCAGACCATTATCAGGTTAATAGCATCCTACCGAGGAGATTTCCCTTCATTTCCTGACTCAGAGACAGGACGTGGGAGGAAATCTCCACAAGTGAATAATTCCCATCCTAGACAGTTGGAAGATTAGAAGATTTCCTTTCACCTCTCGCTTTCGTGCCACAGTACAACAGGACTGCAGGTCATTGACATGAAAAATATTAAAGCCACAGTGCAGGCATAACAGCCAAAGAAATGAGCTTTTTCAGGAGGGGAGGTCAGCAGTAGCAGTAATGCTGTATGTAACATTTAAAGACTAATGCTCAGGAGGGGGTGGGGCCAAGCACAGCTTTCACATGAAAAGTCATGACTTTCATATAAATTCAGCTACTTATATCTCTAAATATTCTGATCATTTTAGACCTTATGCATGCAGGATGTTTTTTTCTTCACCTGGATGTCTTTTCTCAATGGGAGCAAAATGCAGCATACAAAACACGCCTAGAGCCACGTTTTTGCAAACATGTTTAGGCTTGTTTGGGCAATCATTCATTCCATTGGCCAATATATTAATTTAATCTGTGAACAAGTAAGTGCTATGCTCAGAGATAACCCCCACGGAAGTCAAATTTCAGTACTCTGGCTCTGTGTGTCTTTCCAGCACAGATGCAACTGAATAATGAGGATTGGTATAGCCGGCACTCATCTTCCCGAATAGTAAACTTTATTGAACAAGTAAAATCTGCATTTAAAATGCTTATGCGTTTCAGCAATAAGCCTTAGTTATAGCTATGACAGGCTTATTGCTGAAACGTGTAAGCCATTTTATATGCACATTTTACGCATTCAATAAAGTTTTCTATTTAGCATATTTACCATACATACCTGATGCCCCTGGAAGCTGGAAATCACTGAAGTAGATACTGCTACCCCAGTGACCTCCACTTGCTTCCAGATCCCACGCTGAGCAGCTGTCCTGCTGAGGTTGGTTGCTCAGCACCATTCAGAGAATATTTTGTGTTTTCTGAATGAATGCAAGTTATTTACTGACTGGACAAGGTGGAAAGGCGAAGGTGAAGTGATGTCATGTCCACCTCATCCAATAAGTGCCATGACATCCTCTGTGACAGCGTCTACATTTCTTGTGAGTCCAACAACCATCTTTGCAACGACAATAGATCACTGCAGTATTGGACTTCTGCTTGCAGAGAACATAGAACAATGGGTCACTATTAAAATGCGGGGATGTCCCTTTGCAGCAAAAGAGCGCTAATGATAACAAATAATAATGAAGGAAAAAGCAATAAAGGAAAAAATTATCTCTCCTCTTAATTTCTTGTTCCCAACAAATGCAATGGATAACAGATTATCGTTACATTTACAATATCTAGAGCTTTTATTTTTCAGCTGGAGCTTGGTGGAACTCAGTTCCACCACCTCTGGCTCAGGCCCTCGGGCTCCCTGCACCACCACTATCACTTGTATACATAGAAGTCTGGCTGAGATGCAGATGCCTGGGCTGAATTGTGGATACCGACACCCCCACGGATGATCTCCCTGCAATTGAGATAGGCAAAACCACCTACAGTGTGCAGTGAGGTACTAGAACCAGCTGAGTGCTTCACCTTAATACAACAACAAAAGTAAGAAATGTGGAAGATGGTGGAGTTTTAAGAAGGGGGGAGAAGATGGAGCAATGAAGGGGGAAGTTGCATGCAGAGGTTAGAGTTGATGACGGATGAAAGTGAGTTGTGGATGCAGAAGTAAGCAGCTGTGGTAGAAGGCACTGAACTCAGCACTTTGTACGTAACGCACCCATGAACTTTGCACTGTGTATACAGCACAAACCTGAACTCTGCACTTTCTGTGTAACGCATTCCCTGAACTCTGCACTGCGTATGCAGTGCACTCCTGAACTCTGCACTTTGTGTGTAACGCACCCCTGAACTCTGCACGGTGTATGCAGTGCACCCCTGAACTCTGCACGGTGTATGCAGTGCACCCCTGAACTCTGCACGGTGTATGCAGTGCACCCCTGAACTCTGCACTTTGTGTGTAATGCACCCCTGAACTCTGCACTGTGTATGCAGCGCACCCCTGAACTCTGCACTTTGTGTGTAATGCACCCCTGAACTCTACACTGTATGCAGCGCACCCCAGAACTCTGCACTTTGTGTGTAACACACTCCTGAACTCTACCCTGTGTAAGCAGCGCACCCCAGAACTCTGCAGTTTGTGTGTAACACACTCCTGAACTTTGCACTGTGTATGCAGCGCACCCCAGAACTCTGCACTTTGTGTGTAATGCACCCCTGAACTCTGCACAGTGTATACAGCACAAACCTGAACTCTGCACTTTCTGTGTAACGCATCCCTGAACTCTGCACTGTGTATGCAGCACACTCCTGAACTCTGCACTTTGTGTGTAATGCACCCCTGAACTCTGCACGGTGTATGCAGTGCACCCCGGAACTATGCACTTTGTGTGTAATGCACCCCTGAACTCTGCACTGTGTATGCAGCGCACCCCTGAACTCTGCACTTTGTAATGCACCCCTGAACTCTACACTGTATGCAGCGCACCCCAGAACTCTGCAGTTTGTGTGTAACACACTCCTGAACTCTGCACTGTGTATGCAGTGCACCCAAGAACTCTGCACTTTTAATGCACCCCTGAACTCTACACTGTGTGTGCAGCACAACCCAGAACTCTGCACTTTGCGTGTAACGCACCCATGAACTCTACACTGTGTATGCAGCGCACCCCTTAACTCTGCACTCTGTGTGTAACCCCCCCCCCCCCCCCCCACCCCAACACTGCACTATATACATTATGCACTCCTGGTATTTAATGCCCCTTTAAGATCTGCCAATGTTTGTGAAATTGACCACACCCACTTTTTGATACAGTTTGAACGGTGTACGTGCAGGGTGAAGGGGAGTTTTGGGGGGTCGTGGTTGAATTCTTGCACCTATTTTCTGTGAAAAAAAAAGCCCTGATAATATCCTTTGAAATTTTTCAGTATTAAAAATGTCACCATTCTGCTAATTTCTTTTTACATCAAACCTGACTTGAACTTGGAATATAAATCAGTCGGCTATAGAGAATGGCACTGCATGAAAGTAGAAATCTGAGTGTAAAAACAGTAGCTGCTTAGAATTTAAAAGACCTTCAGTATACAAAAAGGCGAAAAGTTTTAAACATAAAACAAAAGTACAATTTTTAAAAAATCAGAAAACCTCAAACAAGTACTAGCTATAAAAAATAAAAGCTATCAAATGCTGCCGGCACCCTCAGTTATTGCTTCTAGATAGCAAAGAAAAAAAGGCAACACAGCAAAGCACTGATTCCAAAGTGATCACCAATTGGAGCAAATCCTTCTTGATAATGAAACAATGTTCCCAATGACTAATGAATGAGTCACGATAGAAGGAATATGTCATGTTTGGAGTAATCAGCCAGGAGCAGTGCTAGATGTAAAGCATACACAGCCCCATTCTCAGGCTGGGCTTACCGACTTCAACTTATCGTTTTTGAGACGTAATATCAAAGAGATTCCCTTAAATGAAGGCAAAACTCTAAAGTGACACTAAACTCTGCTTAGAAACAAAAAAATATTATATTTAATTTTGTATTCCTAACTTTAAAAAGTACCATCTCAGCCTCCTCCAAATCTCTGAATTCTTTTTTTGTTGTTGCTGTGAATGGGCTTCCTGTTAGAGGGTAGCAATGTTTGTTTTCCATGGTCCCACTGTATGTTGGGATGTAGCCACATATGTAGCTTGCTCCTGAGATGGACTATGGATTTGTAGTTGTGCATAGAGCATTGTATAAGACCTCAACTAACATGCACTGCTTGTTCCAAATAAACAGAAGCCAGGGGAAAAGCAGAGGTTCAGGAGTTCACAGAGGAAGATACAGGAGGCAAAAAGGCTCAGCTAAGCACATCCTTCTGCCTGCATGTCTAAGCTAAGGGCAAATGGATTCCAGGAGGTAAATCATCTGCCCATAATGAAGATGGCTGTAGCTAGAAATACTAGGGGGTGTTTTGCCAAGTGATTTCTCATTAAAATAATGCATGGAGATGTGGATGAATAAAGGAGTTCGCTGTGAATTTTAAAATTTAATTTAATTTTCGATTTGTGGTGCTCAGATACAATTTAGTTTCATCGTAAAGTCAATCTAAAGGTTCATTTTTTTTTCTTAAATAACAAAAATGTCTTACTTACCTGCTCTGTGCTGCCCCAATCTTTTTTTTTTTCGGGTCTTCGGTTAGCTCTTCTGGCTTCTCCTCTTTGACCAGTGCCCCCAATGGCAAGCCGATTACTATGGGGGCACTGGTGCTTACTTGCTCCCGAGCCCCGCTCGATGCTTACTATGGGGGCACTGGTGCTTACTTGCTATTTACTATGGGGGCACTGGTGCTTACTTGCTCCCGAGCCCCGTTCGATGCTTACTATGGGGGCACTGGTGCTTACTTGCTCCCGAGCCCCGCTCGATGCTTAATGGGGGCACTGGTGCTTACATCCCGAGCCCCGCTCGATGCTATGGGGGCACTGGTGCTTACTTGCTCCCGAGCCCCGCTCGATGCTTACTATTGGTGCTTACTTGCTCCCGATCGATGCTTACTATGGGGG